AATAGAAAGGTTACCTTAGCTCACTAGTAGAAATAAAACTGTAGCAACAATCAAGACACTTGAGTTTGAAAGAAACTTTTACTAGATAATATGACTAGGAATGCAACTTTGAAATTGATCTGAACGGAAGTTCAGACGCCAAAATATTGGAAATTTTTTCTTCTTCACATAAAAAAATGGGGGTGAGAGAGGAGTTGGGGGGTTTGTTGATTGTTGACCAGTAGTGATGTCTTGACCACACGGCCTCGGATCATCAATTAAAAGGACTCTGTTGAACACATGGGAAATGTTGAAATTTAACCTTTTTTATGGAATGTATAACAAAGTGGAATGAAATACTTGAATCAGTACAGATATTTCATAGGTGGCACCACCTATGTGTATGTGTATGTGAATGTGTATGTGTGTGTATGTGTATGTGTGTGTGTATGTGTGTGTGTGTGTATGTGTGTATGCAGACAAACTGGTATATGGAATGACACTGTTGACAATATTTCTAAAACATTAACATAACTTTGACATTTATTTCTTATGTGGAGATATATATATATATATATATATATATATATATATATATATATATATATATATATATATATATATATATATATATATATATATATTACATTATATTATATATTATATAATATATATTATTGAAAATATCAATATTTCTTATTTACATGACCAATGAACATGGTTTGAATCCTGCATGATATCAGTGTCAGGTTCCTCTACAAAAGCTTGGGGTGAGGACGCGCGAGTCTTGGTCACAGCTTACAACTGTTGAGATCACGAATACTTAAACAAAGAGTAAAAAAATCATGAAATAGCGAAATGAGGAAGCCGCTAACATCCACTCTGTTGATACGGGTGTTTTGTAGTCGTATATCTATAGAATATCTGAGTACAATGAAATGGGTTGATGGCACAGCTGGGTGCTGTGCCATGTTGCTGATTTACCTTGAATTTAGTGATGAGCTTATATATATATATATATATATATATATATATATATATATATATATATATATATATATATATATATATATATATATATATATACCCCACAGAACTCCATTTTGTAGTCACGATGTTATTGATACCACGCTAAACGTGATCAATTGATCTTACCTAAACTTAAAATCGTAAAAAAATGAGATATTTTTTATAAATGATATATTTGAAATTCAGAGAATTTAATTTTGCTTTAAATTGTACTGTAACTTTATGCAAAGATTACTATTTCCCCCCAGACGTTGGGAAGTGCGTCTCATCCACTCATTCTCACGTTCGTATCCCCCTTGTTGCATGTCCTGGTTCAAAAGTCCACTTTGCAACTAAATTATTTAGTACAATAACGAACTAACAAAATAATACAAAAATGAAAACGAGAAATTTATGCAAGGGGAGACCAAACAAAAACTGGCTTAGTTTGGTCCTGTTTTAAGGGCCTGGCACGCTCTTAAAGCGTTATTAAGGTCACTACATTAGGTTAGTGACCAACCAGCAAGTGTAGTTTAGTCCTCAGTGTTAGTTCAGAACTAAAGTGGCCTCACAGTGTATCCACACCTACAAGGTGGGTATATCCACACCGAGAAGGTGGATATATCCACACCAACAAGGTGGGTATATGCACCCCAACAAGGTGGGTATATCCACACCAACAAGGTGGGTATATGCACCCCGCACTCTATACTTCATATATCCCTCATATAACAACACTCAAAATGCACCCTAACCTAACCTAACGTTACCTTACTTAATCAAATGTATCCTAGTCTAACCGAACATAACTTAATGTAACATAATCTAAGGTAATCTAAACTAACGTAACGTAACCTAGACATAACTTGAGCTAAACTAACTCTAGGTTAGGTTAGGTTGTCCCTGCAAACGCCTAACGTAACCACAACGTTCCTTTACGTCGTTGCAACGTTATGACCCTTGCAACAACGTATAAATGAACGTTGCATTTACGTCTTGTGTTTGCAAGGATGCAAGTGCATGTTTCCCTGGGGTGGGATTTCAGCTGTTACTTTTCCATGTTTTACTTTTCTTTATTTTGTAAATTGATTTTTGTACTAAATGGTTTGGCTTCAAAATAGTTTTGAGTGAATATATGCAAGAATTGCCAGTGTTGGTGGTGGTTCTGTATGTGGGGGCTTGCTTGCCAGTGTTGGTGGTGGTTCTGTATGTGGGGGCTTGCTTGTCAGTGTTGGTGGTGGTTCTGTATGTGGGGGCTTGCTTGTCAGTGTTGGTGGTGGTGGTTCTGTATGTGGGGGCTTGCTTGTCAGTGTTGGTGGTGGTGGTTCTGTATGTGGGGGCTTGCTTGTCAGTGTTGGTGGTGGTGGTTCTGTATGTGGGGGCTTGCTTGTCAGTGCTGGGGGTGGTTCTGTATGTGGGGGCTTGCTTGTCAGTGTTGGTGGTGGTGGTTCTGTATGTGGGGGCTTGCTTGTCAGTGTTGGGGGTGGTTCTGTATGTGGGGGCTTGCTTGTCAGTGTTGGTGGTGGTGGTTCTGTATGTGGGGGCTTGCTTGCCAGTGTTGCTGGTGGTGGTTCTGTATGTGGGTGCTTGCTAGCCAGTGTTGGTGGTGGTGGTTCTGTATATGGGGGCTTTCTAGCCAGTGTTGGTGGTGGTTCTGTATGTGGTGTCTTGACTACCAGTGGTGGTGGTGGTGGTTCTGCATGTGGGGGCTTGCTTACCAGTGTTGGTGGTGGTGGTTCTGTATGTGGTGTCTTGACTACCAGTGTTGGGGGTGATGGTTCTGTATATCGAGACATGTTCACCGGTGTTGCCTATGTGTCCTGCGCTGTATACCCATTTGGTGGGAAACCTGTTGCCAGTTTCCCAAGCCAGTTTACCTTCACACTAGATGGTGATTGTATATATGTCACTTATGTATCTTTCCAATGGGGGAGGGCATGTATAATCACACACTCAAGTGGCATTACATACGTACACTATCTGGAGATACACATGTGACCTCGGCCGACACATGTGTCGCATCAGCAGGTGTTTGAGAGCGCTGCATCTTTGTATACATCTGGCTTTGCTCACTGACCAGCTGCCAGCCGGGCAGAACATCTGGTCGAGTAACGCTGTGTCAACAGGGAGTGAACTCTTCAATCATCACAGAAACTACGTTTAATGAACGGCGAATCAAAAGGGAATTAACATTGAATCAAAATAAAATCCGAGCTAAATCAACAGAGAATCAACGTTGTATCAACAGAGAATCAACGCTGAATCAACATAGAATTAACGCTGAATCATCGCTGAATCAACTGAGAATCAACGCTGAATCAACATAGAATCAACACTGAATCAACGCTGAATCAACAAAGAATCAACGCTGAATCAACAAAAAATCAACATAGAATCAACGCTGAATCAACAGAAATTCAACACTGAATCATCGCTGAATCAACGCTGAATCAACATTGAATCAACGCTAAATAAACATAGAATCAACAGAGAATAAACACTGAATCATCGTTGAATCAACAAAGAATCATCGCTGAATCAACAAAGAATCAACGATGAATCAACGTTGAATCAACAGAGACTCAACGTTGACTGGTTGTCAGATCAACACTGCCGGGTCCGACGCCCTGGGGGAGACGCCACAGCCATCAATCATATCATCACACTCTCTTGACAGTAAAGAAACTTATAGAGTCAAGACAAATGCTCTCTACACTTGCGTCTTTAAAAAATGCTTTTCGAGACGTCAAAATGGCCTCTATATTAACTAATGTACATTGGTGACATCTTACACGGGATAAATTCGAAAAAAACGTCAGAATTAAAAAAATAAAACAGTTTTTCCCGCTTTCATGATGTATTAAACGCGGCTTCCTTAAAATATTTTGATTGTATGCAGAGTGGACGCGAGGCGCTGTGACTTGCGGTCATATGTCGCGTATGAGGCAATAAATTGTATCGTAAAATACGGCTCGCGACGTAAAATACGTCGCGAGCTGTGATTTACCGTCACAGACACGCACATTGCGATTGCGTCCAGCGGTGACGACTATTGTGTGTTCCGTTGTTGCGTAGCGTGCGCTGTGATGCGTCGAATTCTGTGGTTTACTAACGTAGCCTGAATGACGTAAAGTGTAGGTCGTCGTCGGCGTCGTCGTCGTCGTAGGTGTCGGCGTCATTATTGGTGCTCTGATTTCCGTAATATCTGTTTGAGTCCCAGGTCGTTTCTTATCTGTATATGTGGTAATATACTGCAGTAATGAGTCGGAGTCTCGTGTCCCCAGTACGACTGTTCAATAGTCACTGTCGCTCGTCGGTGCACTAGGCCAGTACACCAGTTGACGGTCGTGCTCTCGTGTCGCCTCAATAAGTCTCAAATTCCCATTTACAAAGAAAAATACAAGTCTCTGTGCACCTCGCTCACACAAATAGTCTGAATGATATCACAAAAAAACCAACTGTTCTAAAGTGAAGCCTTTTTCTTACATAGATCTCATAATAAACCATAAATGTCCAGAGCTAATGGCCGAGGGACCTCGGGTCCACCTTGAGAAATGCCAACGTCTTCAACCTCCCCCATGCACCCCCTCGACCCCCACCCCACACCCCCTCCCTCTCTGCAATGAGGTTTGTTTTGTTACCCACTTCCCGAAAACCTGTTCATTAACGTAAATCTTCCTGACGAGTCGCAACTCGACAGCAGCGCTAACGACTTCGTCCGCCTTAACCACCACCCAGTCGACGTAGTCAGGTTCCTCGACCAGACATCGTTAGTGTTATCACATTGTGTCTCGTCTTTTATCAGATTCAACATGAATATTGTCAAGCAAACACTGAAACAATGTTTAACCAATTATATATATATATATATATATATATATATATATATATATATATATATATATATATATATATATATATATATATATATATATATATATATATATATATATATATATATATATATATATATATATATATATATATATATATATATATATATATATATTTCTCATCTTTGATATTCTCAAATATTTACAATCACCTTAATTAACTTCATAAGGACGATTATGGATCAAAATACCATGTCACTTTAAGCCACTAAGTAATATAAGTGGTTGGATAGTAACGCAATTTGGTCGATTTTGTAGTGCTGTTGGACACCGCTGTGATCGACACCGCTGTGAACGACACAGCTATGAACGACACAGCTATGAACGACACAGCTAAGAATATCTCACACCAACCTCTGTTAAAGAATGCTTGGAACGAGTACTCTGGGACTTCCTGATTGCATTACTCCTCTCGGTTTTATAACTTTAAACCCGTTCTTCCTTGTGCTAAATGCTGGACACTCGGGAACAAATCACCGCGGTGAATTATTTTAACATTAGCCTTTTTATATTATTTCTGAAAATGTTTGAGCAATATATTCTGTTTGAAATGGGATGTTCAGCATTATTAAACAAGTGTCTGGTTAATGGGTGGTCAATGTGTCGCTACTGAATGGGGTTTTTATCTCCGTTATGTTGCCTTAAAGATTCGTGTTTGCTGCTTCTTCTGGCTCAAAGAAATAGGTATAGACTTGAAGTATCTCATTATTTCTCATCTTTGATATCATCAGTTCTAGCATTGTGTCTCAGCACTAACGCCAGAAATGTCAACATTTTGTCCTCATCGTTAATATCAACAGTTCCATAACCTCTGATATATAAATAAAGTTCTATCATTGTTTTTCCATCACTAACGTCTATCAGCTGTCTCCAGTAACGTCGTCACTAACGCCATCAGTGTCATTGTTATTTATGATCACTATGACCATCAGTTCGTTATTGTTTACATCTGGTCAAGAGACACCAAGTAAGCAGCTGCGAAGTCCTCAGTCACTACCGCTCTACAGACCACCGCACACTCCCCAGGCACTCTATAAGAGCACACAGCGCTCCCTCGAATGCTCTTCCGGAACACGTCCACTGTGCTCGAATAGCCCTCGAACGCGTCGGGGGTGTTCCAAAAGCTCCCCCGAACACATCGGGGGTGTACCAAAGGCCTCGAACACGTCGGGGGTGTTCCAAAAGCTCCCCCGAACACATCGGGAGTGTTCCAAAAGGCCTCGAACACATCGAGTGTGTTCCAAAAGCCGCTCAGTTCGCACCTCGATAGTTAATCCACACCTCTCACTGTACAAATCCTCAAAGTACACCGTACACTGCATAAATCCTCACTGTTCTCCCTCACTGTAGTGTGACCGGAGGCAGCAGCAGTGCGCTAGGGGAAGATTCAACGACATCCTCACCATCATCTTGAGGGCCACCCCCAGGACGTAGTGATGGAACAGTTATAAGAGACAAAGAGCAGGAAGCAGCCCGACCCATCATCTGCGACCCAAGAGCGCTGTGGCCGCCAGGCACCAGAGCCACAGACAGGTGCCAGGGTGGAGAGCCAAGCCTCTAGCCGCCATCTGTCGCTGTATTGCGGCCATCTTGTCACCTGTAGAGGTATAGAGAAGGATCTTAGTAACTATAGCACGGGCTGGTTGACAATATATAAAACAACCAGTTTTTAAGAGTTCAAGAGCATGTTTCGGTTAAAAAGAGTAGTGGAAAGTATAGGAATGAATGGGTAAGTGGTTCTTGACTCAACGTTGGGGTCTGCAACTTACTAGGTTACTCAGCACTGTAGCTGCTACGTTACTCAACACTGTAGCAGCTACGTTACTCAACACTGTAGCAGCTCCGTTACTCAACACTGTAGCAGCTCCGTTACTCAACACTGTAGCAGCTCCGTTACTCAACACTGTAGCAGCTACGTTACTCAACACTGTAGCAGCTACGTTACTCAACACTGTAGCAGCTACGTTACTAAGCACTGTAGCAGCTACGTTACTCAACACTGTAGCAGCTACGTTACTCAGCTGGTGAGAGCTTAAACGTTTCGTTAAAACTCTCTTCAGCATCTTCGGAGGCAGTGGATACACATTTGACAGGAATATATTAATATTACTTTTTATACGTATGGTGACGGCTGGTACAGTCAAGTAAGGCGTGAGATGGAAGTTCCGTGCTAGTGTTCACTAGAGGAGGCTACGGTGTGAGAACGTGTAAGTCGACTGTTGACCGGGAGTTTTTGATATATAGTGCCTCGGCTATGTCCTTCAAGCGACACACGTCAGGCCCCAATAAGATTGCAAAATGAAGTTTGTAAGAGTTAATTTGCATCACCTTCCTTTCCCAAGTCAAGAACGTTTGATATGTAGACTAATTGAACAAATCATACTCAGTAAAACACACACACAGATACATATATCTTTATATAAACATCGGAAAGAAGGGAAATTGGAAATACTACAGTTAACTAGGGAGTGTAATGTAAGTGCAGGGGGTAATGATGTTGGACGAGTTAGGAGGTAGGTAGCTATCAGGGGAAAGTACCAAGTCATTGCGACTATATAGCACTGGGAAAGGGTCAGGATAAGGATTTGGGATGGGACGGGGGGGAAGGAATGGTGCCCAACCACTTGGACGGTCGGGGATTGAACACCGACCTGCACGAAGCAATACAGAAATTTAACAAAGCCATAGAATTAGTTAGGAGCAAGGGCGGAATCCCGACCGGAAAGAAGGGAGCGACGCACCGTGGGAGACGAAGACGTTGGAGAAGGCGGGCTGGGTGTTGGAGGCGCTGCAGGTGTAGTTGCCGGAGTCCTGGTAGCGGGCGTCGTTGACGACGAGGTGCGAGTGCGTCTTCTTGGGTCCCGTCTCCGTCGACACGTTGATCCCGCCTCTCTGAGTGTCGTAGTTGATCATGTGGTCGTTGTGGTACCAGAACACGTACTGCGGCGGCGTCGGACTCTGACGCAACCAAATGAATCAGGTTATAGTCCTGTATATAGTGTGATCTCTTAACAATACTCAATGTTGTGTGATGTTTCTGTGAGAAGTTCTCGAAGGAGGGCACTGGCATCGAACCCTCTTTCTAGATCACCAGACACGCCCGCCTTCGTGGATCACTGGGGAAGGCGTGGTATCTGGCGGTGATAAATATGGACGCGGGTTCGAATCCACCGCCTTGCCCCGAAGACCTTCTCATCTCAAACACATGCAAGTGATTATTACTGAGCTGGATATTGGTACTGTTCTTTCTCTCTGTTTAAGTTGGGTTTTATCGTCACGTGCATCCCAGCATCTTGTGTACTATCTACGTGCATCCCAGCACCTTGTGTACTATTTACGTGCATCCCAGCACCTTGTGTACTATCTACGTGCATCCCAGCACCTTGTGTACTATCTACGTGCATCCCAGCACCTTGTGTACTATCTACGTGCATCCCAGCACCTTGTGTACTATCTACGTGCATCCCAGCACCTTGTGTACTATCTACGTGCATCCCAGCACCTTGTGTACTCTACAGAGACCACGTACACTACCTCCCCAGCGACCACTAACACTACCCCCCCAGGGACCACTTACACTACCCCCCCAGGGACGTGTATTACCTGTTTGATAACGCAGACGAGCTTGATGGTGGAGCCCAGCTGTACGTGGTAGTCTTTGTTGCCAAGGATGAACGCCTGAGGCACCACCACGTGTAGGTTGACGAACTGCGAGATGACACCGGTCCCCGTCGACAGCTGTAAGCACACGGAACACAGTAACTTATTGTAAGTCACGGAACACAACAACTGTTATTGTAAGTCACGGAACACAGCAGCTGTTACTGTAAGTCACGGAACACGACCTATTATTTTTTTCAGTCACGGAAAACAAGATTTATTATTTTTGTTCAGGAAAGAACACCACCATTTTAGTCCTGGATTAAACAACATAAAATGAAAGAAGAGATGAATTAATAGACATAGATATATTCCTCCCAAGTTCTACTCAAACAGCTGCTTAACATATCTACTGAGAGTGGATCCTTACGTCAGTTAAGGGGACAGCTAAAACGTATTAACCATAAACCGTTAAGGACCTTAACTTCAACGATCAATACGTCGGTTAAGGGAACAGTTTGTATACATGACAGCTATAGTCATGAAGTTTGTCCTCTCTCCGTTATCATAGGGACTTTTATCCACGTTGCCCTAAGGGAAACTTGTCCCTCGATGGACCGCCGTCCCTCTCCACCAGCAAGGGGGATTTTCCTGACCTCCAAGGGATAAAACCTTCCCACAAAACACAAACACAGCCAAGAGTCACCGGAATATTTACTCTCCCCTATCACCATCCACCGCTACCACCACCATCCACCCCCACCACCACCATCCACCCCCACCACCACCATCCACCCCCACCACCACCATCCACCCCCACCACCAGCATCCGGATGTGTCCGAGACTGAGAGTTGACCCTACGTTGCAGCTTATGATGCAATATTTTCCTCTTTGTTACCTGTATCGGGAGTGGCTGCGTACTTACGACTTCTAGCGGACATGCTCTTGCTGAACTAGGGAGGTGGGGGGGGGGGCAGTGTCATTATGATGGCCCTGCGGTCAAGAGAACTGTGGTAGCTAGCATTCTCTCGTCTGTCTGTTAATTAGGACATTGGTGAGGAAGGTTAAGGAGTTAATGAAGTGCAGTTGTGACGGCCACTGGCAGCGAAGCGTTTGTTCGTTCGTCGCCTTATGGGTCTAGTCGTGCGTCATGGTCGTATGTGATAATCGTCCGTCATACTCGTGTGTGATAATCGTGCGTCATGGTCGTATGTGATAATCGTCCGTCATAGTCGTGTGTGATAATCGTGCGTCATGGTCGTATGTGATAATCGTGCGTCATAGTCGTATGAAATTATCGTGCGTCATAGTCGTATGTGATAACCGTGCGTCGTCATAGTCGTATGTGATAATCGTGCGTGTTATAATCATGTGAAATAATCGTGCGTCAAACGTGCGTGCGTAACAGACTTGGGTAGTAGTAGTTGTGTGCAAAAGTCGTACATAACAGACGTACGAAATAGCAGTGAGCAATAGTCATACGTAATACAAAGTGGGATACTATTCCAATATTATTGACATAATTGAAGACACCAACTGTGTTTTGAAGTCACCTCCCTTCCTGTTGACGCCCTCCCATTCCTCTGCCCCTTTCAATGCCCCTTTCCCCTGCTCCCATTCTCTGCCCCTTCGCAGAACTGTTGTTTTATTGTATAAGATTCGCTACTTGGAACAAGTTCCAAATAGCACGGGCTATGGTGAGCCCGTAGAGTTCGCAGAGCAAGACTCACCTGGCACTCGTAGGTGCCATTGTCCCTCCGGGTGGTGTACTTGATCTGCAGCGTCCAGTCGTCGGAGTCCTCCGGGTGCAGGACGGCGAAGCGCTCATCGTTGGTGTAGGTAAAGATGCCGGTAGTGAGGATGTGCCAGTCGCGACGCCTGAACCACGTCACCTGTGACGGGGAGAGAGAGAGAGGGTGAGGTGGGGGCTCCTGCAGGCGTGGCGGTAGTGATCTGTCTCGTAGCTACGTCACCTGAGACAGAAATGACAGGTGAGATAAGACAGGTGTTCTTGCAGGCTTGGCAGTGATGATTTGATCATAAAATTATCGCTTTGGAGCGTCTACTGCAATGTTGATGACATCTGCTTGCAGGTACCCGACATGCAGTGCTTGCTACAGCTTACAGGAAGCTGTCGAGCAAAATTCAGTGCCTACATTCATTGACAAGATGGAAAGGGAAAACTTTTCTGATGCCTTTTCTATATGTAACAGTGTCGGAATGGAATGGTGTATTTCGTACTCCTGTCTGAAATAAAGGAACTAAGGTACGGATCTTAATGCTAATAGTGAGTACCTCTGACAGGTACCAGTGTTGTTGATATCTGTGTCAAGCTTGTGACCTCACAGAGCTTCAGGTGGGTGACCCCACACAGCTCAAGGTGGGTGACCCCACACAGGCTCCAGGTGGGTGACCCCACACAGCTCCAGGTGGGTGACCCCACACAGCTCCAGGTGGGTGACCCCACACAGCTCAAGGTGGGTGACCCCACACACCTCCAGGTACTCACCTAGTTGTGTTTGCGGGGGTTGAGCTTTGGCTCTTTGATCCCGTCTCTCAACCGTCAATCAACTGTTGTACAGATTCCAGGCAAGCTAGCGAGGAGCTCAGCAGAGTAAGTCAGTTTTTGTTACTAATGGAAACGCATACGAATAAGTCGAAGAGATCATACAAAACACGAAGGTAAACAGCCGCAAATAGCCGTAAACAGCCACCTCTGATGAATCGGTCCCACCTATTAAATTCTTCACAAGGTTCTATTCAGTGGCTCACAAGCCGGAGGATAGATCCCGAGAGCCGTGCTCGACAGAACGGTGCTTCCTAGTCATACTAATTAAAAGATACAGCTCATTATATACTACAAAGGCAAAAAGACAACCAACCTGCTTATGAAAAACTCTTCCGACATCAAACAAAACGTCTTGAAAGAGACAAATGTTGTCTGTGCCTTTTCATGCCCATTTAAGGACTGACAACCCAAACAATCTCAGTACATAGGCTAAACAACAATATCTCGTTCAGTGCGCCTGACAGTACACAAACAATAAGGTTCCGTCAAAGAACACAATATTTACACACACAACCAGACAGACAATCACCAGAAATATCCTAACCAGCAACACCGAAATAGTCGACAGATACACTGTCTAGATATGACTAGACACAGGCGACGCATTACATATAAAATATTCTCATCCAACTACCAATTACTGGCAGGTAAACTCACCATCCTAAAGTAGCATATCCAGTTTACACCTCATCACCTCCACCGGACAACTATGCAGCAACAGAATAAAAATAATCCTCAATATTTACAAAAACTCCTGGAAACTTTTCTTTTAACACAAATTTCTATTTTCTAATCTCAAGTAAACAAAAAATATCAATAATTAATAGCAACAAGGTTTTTATCCCTCCAGTACTGAAATCCCTTTAATCACAACACCGTCGCGTCAATCGCTATTAAGGCAGTTAAGAGGATTTAGTCTAGCGATGCTAAGACCGTCATTGACGAGGTGATGGCATCACCAAGTGAAGCTGGAGCATCATCTCCGGCTCCCCAGACGGGACACGATGCCATCCATTATAATCCAGGTAATATATGGATGTTAGAGACAAGGGTGTGAGTAACGCACCAGCCATGAGACGGAGGAGAGGTTCAGCGATCGTAATGATGCATGTCTGTTACTGCTCTGTTTTTTTCATTAGAAACAGGAGGGTGTAAAATGGAAAATAATTGACTTAAGAGTGCCTTAGACTGGGACAAAAGATCACAGTAATCTTGAGTTGTAACTACACACTTTTCTCGATAGATTGGCGATCAAAAGTGTCGGGAAAAGCATAGAATGGTTCTTCATTCCACAAGGGGGTTATACATAATAGATGGATACATATGATATATGATTGCTAGCTGTACATGATAGACCGTTATACATGATAGACCGTTATACATGATTTACCTGAATTTATCTGCTGGCCACCATCTCTAGTGCCTTCGACGGGAACAGGCAGACGGCGGCTTGTCAAAGGTTCCATCATTGCGTCTCAGGATTATTTGTATCTGAATTTTAAATTGAAATAATCTTTTATTTACGGGTTAGGCATGTAGTTAGTTTCATGACGGTAATAAAGTATATTCTAATTTCTGTCCTTTATTGCGGCTTGTTGAGCTTGAAGCTGTTACCTCTAGTGCATGTGGCACGTGACCTTTGAAAGAAGTGGTCATTAATATCCTGTAACTAGTTAGATACATTAAATGAGTACTTTGAGGCTTTTAGTCCAGTCAATGCCTAGTATTGTAGTGGTAATAGTCCTGTGCCCCTCAACTGTTACCAACCACTCGGGCTGGACGGTAGAGCGACGGTTTCGCTTCGTACAGGTCGGGATTCAATCCCGGACCGTCCAAGTCGTTGGGCACCATTCTTTTTCCTCGTCCCATCCCAAATCCTTATTCTGATCCCTTATAGTCGTAATGGCTTGGCGCTCTCTTTTGATCCTTCCCGCCTGATCTGAGAGTCGACTTAATTCTGGGAATGCTTTTTGCCGCCGAGTGTTGAACTGTTACGGTCTCACTTAGCCAGCAACTCCGGTAGTTTTGCCTCTCTCTCTACACCATCTTAGTGCCTCTTTCTTCACAGATCCAACCCGACAAGTCAGGGGAGAAGTTATCAAGAACAGAGCAGTAATAGTCAACAAAACGGGGAACCGGGGTAAACAACACTACACAAAAACCATCACCACATGTAATTACATACTATTTACAGGTAATTATTTACAAGAAACAAACCCCAACGTGGCGCTCTCAGGCAAGACACCACAACATCCTCTGCGACCCTATGTCACAGCGAGTCCTTCTCCTCCTATCACCAAGGGCTCCTCCCTGTGTGTCCTGAGGTACTCGCCTTCATTGAGGTATACTCTAGACCGCCTTCCAATGTCCCTCTCACGTCACTTCTGGGGAAAGACAGTCACATAATACGAAGGAAACTGCACCTATTTGGATGAGACTAGAGCCGGGCATGAGGGAGCACAGAGAACGGGGTCAGGTGCGGTCGATAGATGGCGGTAACATCGTCACCTGAACTTTCCCCAAAGCAGATATGTCCATGTGATGAAGTCTTCATGCTTGGATACAGCAGACTAGATAAGGCGAAGCAGAGGCTTGTAAAAGTTTAATAACCAATTTATTTGCCTTGAAGTGAGAATAGGTCGTTTGCCTATTCCTAAGGTGTGGCTTGCTTGTATTTTTTTTACTGCAACACCCACTTATTGTGCAACTTGCAATGACTGGTGAATCCTAACTTATAGACTCCTTTTCTTCATCAATCTGTTGCATGGTAGTGTTGTTGATGTGGTAGTTGTGATGTGCATTGTTATGCACTCTCGAAAGGTCTTGCTTCCATTTATGAACATTGAAAAGCATTTGTCAGTCTTCTGATCATTTGTAGAGTTCATTCACACCTGGTGACGAGTCTGACACACCTGGTGACTAGTCTGACACACCTGGTGACGAGTCTGACACACCTGGTGACTAGTCTGACACACCTGGTGACTACTCTGACACACCTGGTGACTAGTCTGACACACCTGGTGACGAGTCTGACACACCTGGTGACGAGTCTGACACACCTGGTGACGAGTCTGACACACCTGGTGACGAGTCTGACACACCTGGTGACGAGTCTGACACACCTGGTGACGAGTCTGACACACCTGGTGACGAGTCTGACACACCTGGTGACGAGTCTGACACACCTGGTGACTAGTCTGACACACCTGGTGACGAGTCTGACACACCTGGTGACTAGTCTGACACACCTGGTGACTAGTCTGACACACCTGGTGACTAGTCTCTGGTGACGAGTCTGACACACCTGGTGACTAGTCTGACACACCTGGTGACTAGTCTGACACACCTGGTGACTAGTCTGACACACCTGGTGACTAGTCTGACACACCTGGTGACTAGTCTGACACACCTGGTGACGAGTCTGACACACCTGGTGACTAGTCTGACACACCTGGTGACGAGTCTGACACACCTGGTGACGAGTCTGACACACCTGGTGACGAGTCTGACACACCTGGTGACTAGTCTGACACACCTGGTGACTACTCTAACACACCTGGTAACTACTCTGACACACCTGGTGACTAGTCTAGACTAGTTACTGAGCGGTTCGAGGAGCGGCTCGGGCAGTAGTTGCTTCTGGAATCTTTCCTTATCCAGACCACTCAATAGCCCAGTTGATAGCGCTTCGGTCTCTATCAACTGGGACACGTGGGTCCACGGTTCGAGTCTCCTAGAGCCCAGGTGGATGAAATGTTTACTTTCACAGATGTGTGGGTGACAATTTATAGATGGTTAATCATAATATATGAATATACAGAATAACTATACATGATATACAGCTATATATGATAGACACCTATATATGATAGACAGCTATATATGATAGACAGCCATATATGATAGATAGCTGTTCATGACAGATGGCTATGCATGATTGATGGTTGTACATAATACATGTAAATACTGTATTATGCTAGATAGCTAAACATGATATATGAGTATACACGATAGCTGCTACACACGATAGATGATTATACACGATAGATGGTTCTATACATGACAGAACAAACATACAGCCATGAGCAAAATATAATCTAGATAATCCCAGGCAACAAAGAGGGTGGTCCCAATGATAGAATTACCGGATCAGGTTGTGAACAGGATAAAATAACGAGCCAATCTATCGGGGGATCCTACCGGATGATCTATCGAGTCCAGCGCGACAACAGACTGATCAAAGCAGCTATGCCCCGGGCCACAGATCAAGAGACAAACACGACAAAGCTCTGTGTGACTCAACAAGGCCCTGAGGGTAACACA